CAATAGTAAACTAACATTGTTCCCGCCCTCTGCTGATGGACTTGAGGGGGAACTGCAGCAGAGGGCGGGTACAATGCTAGTTTACTATTGGCTATTGCAAATTGAAATAGCCAATAGTAATGTCCCAATGCTTTTCAATGGGAAAAATCTTTTTTTTTTTTCTATTCTGACATCGCTCCGTGTCAGAATAAAGAAAAAAAGACTCAGCAGTGTTTCTCTCCTTGGCGGCCGGGAGCAGGAGACTCCCGGGGGCCAGGGAGAGTTTGCTGTTTGGAGATACAGCACCCGTACAGCACCCCTTCGGTTCTACTGACCCGAAGGGGTCCTGGGGCCAAAGCTAGCCAAAGGATCGGCCGAAGCTACGGCCAGATCCTTCGGCAGCTTTGTGAATAGACCCCATCATTTGTCAAATTCTGGGAGAAAGGAGGATGGCATCACTCTCACCAAGGCACTGTGGGAGGAACTGGAGGAAAGGTAAGAATATTATCTAACCATTTCTCTCCACACAGGTACTCTTAGGCAGTGTTTTATGAAGGGGGAACACCTTGAATAAGCAGACCTTGACTTTGAGGTGGAAGGTATGCTTCAAGGACAAGGGTCAGGGTAAAGATAATGATAAAGTGTTTGGGTCAGGTAAAGTGCTGAACTTTTAGTTTAAATCAGCTAAAACAGGGGTGGGCAACTCTGGCCTTCCAGCTGTTGTGGAAGTACAAGTCCCATGAGACATTGCAAGAATCTGACAGCCAACAGTCATGACTTCCAGAGGCATAGGCATGGTGGGATTTGTAGTTAAAGCACAGCTCAAGGTCCAGAGGTGCCCACCTATAAGATAGATATATATATATATATATATATATATATATTTAAGTGCACAGAAAGATGTTTGTAGTCTGATGTCACATTTCTCTATAAACAGAAGCTACAACTGCTAAAGAAAAGAGAGGAAAAAACTGTCACCTGCCAGCATTCTGCAGAAAAGGACCCTTGCTCCCTGTGTGGAACCAGTGGTTTCTCTTCAGAGGTCCGATACACCGCTAATGAGTCAAACCTGTAGCAATCAGCAAAGCTCATGCTCCCAGCTGATTGGACAGCTCTAGATAAAGTCAGTCTAGTAGTTAGGCTAGGGTTAAGGGTCAAAACATGTGGGAGAGTTGCAACTTTTTTTTTAACCCAAATTTTCCCTGAAAACTCATGTTTTGTACAGTCAGCTTCCCCTGTCTCTGGACTTACTGATCTGAAAAAACATCCATTTATGTTTTTCCATCACATGTCTATCGCAGGATTACTTTAAAACAACAAAATTTTTTGACTTGCTACAATATAACCGCAAAAGAAATATTAACTCACTGTCTCCGTAGCAACGCAAAGGACCGATTTTCCATGCCACCTCCGACCCTGATCTGTTTGTATCGGTGATCACAATTTGAGAGACTGGCAAATGTTCTTTGAAGGCCAGGAACCCGGTGTCATTTGTCCTGAAACACACAATAAAGACATGTCCAACCACACAGGAAATGGAATTCTTACTTAGGAAATTACATTTTTGGTATAAAGCATGGAAGGTATTTTACAAATTGAATAAAGACTTCAGAAAAGAATGTGACCGTACCAAAAGAAACATTAATATAAAAACAAGCAAACAAAAAAAGTTTACATTTGATTTAAAAAAGATAAACATAAAAAAACGCTGAGGGATTAAACTGAAAAGGGAAAAAAGGGGAGAAAGGAATTAATTGGGGCTAATGAAAGTTGATTTATGGAGGCAGAGTGTGTCACCAATTATTCCAGCACAATTGAAACCCCACAGTGAAAATCAGATGCACATCTCACAAGGTCCATAGCTAGACAAATTTAAAAACCAGATGGCAGAATAAAGGAAAATATTTTTTTGTGTCATTGTGAATCTGAAAAAAATATAGAAAAATTGTGCAATTGTTATCTAAAGTAACAAAAGATTAAAAAAAAAAAACAATTCAACCAACTTATATATGGAAATCATGGACTTTGATGGTACCATCGCTCCCGGGATAGACTACAATCTCATGTTTTGGACTACAATCTCATGGGGAACAAAAGTAGCCCCCCTCCAGAAGGAAGTACAGTGTCAGCACCAATTCAGAGATGATTGGAGGATCTACAGCCGAGTGATACACAAATAAGATACATTGCTGTTCATAGTTAAGCTACTTAAAGTAATATTAAGGCCTGGGCGTTTTTTTACCTTATTGCATTCTCTGCATTCCGGTAAAAACCGCCCAGAACCTTTTTCTCCCCCAGTCATCGCCTTTAATTCTTTTTACAGAATGAAAGGTGTCCTGGTTTTGGAGAAGGGGAGATCATGACATTCATTTCCAGCTCCTCCAATCACAGCACGCCTTGCATTCTGTAAAAATAATTAAAAGTTTTTTTCTGAATGGAGGATTGGGTACTGAGCATACTGCAGCTGGCACTTAAAGTAGTATTAAGGTATGGGCGTTTTTTACCTTAATGGATTCCCTGCATTAGTGTAAAAACTGCCCAGAACCTCTTCCCCCAATCCCCCCCCACACTTACCTGTCAGCGACGCTCATCCCCGCCGCCGGTCCCAAAGTGATCCTTTGCTCCCCTTTTTTCCAGGTTGCGGGGGAGGATGCTGATGGCAGAGGAGCCATAGGCTTCTTCTGCCATCAATCAAAAATAGAAGGGGATTGGCCTGCCACTGGGCTGTGTGTGTCTATGGGCACAAACAGCCACTGCGGGCACCAGCGTGCACGGGTGCCCCCATTAGGACGATGGTGGCACCCGTACAGGGGGCGGGGGAAAGAACGCTGAGGGGACCCACTTGAAAACGAGGAATGAAAAGATTTTAAAGAAAACCAACAACAGCTTCAGGCAAAGGTGGGCATCCCTAGAGCGAATATAAAAGAAAAGGAGAGTTTAATATCGCTTTAAATGCATTTTTTAACTCCTGAGTTTAGTGTCACTTTCATAATCTCCAACCAATCAAGGATATAGGCTTTATACAGTTAGTCCCGGTGGTCACGGATATCTGCTCCATGGTCGTATAGTGTACAATAAGTGGCTGAATTAGTATTTTTTTGCTGTCTTCCGTCTGCCCATCACTTCCAACAACTTCCTGGATTCCCTGTGTGCTTTGCGTCTCTCTCCCTGCTGCTCCATGTGATGCAATCTCCATTTCTCAAGACTGCATAGCCCATCATGCATTGCTGCCAGCAAGCAATAATAAGGTTACATTGTTCAGACGTTGAACATATTCGATTGAAATAAGTGCATATTCACTTATTATGCCACTGCAGAGAAGAAGTACATCCTATGGGAATCTCCAATAAGTAGACATGTGCGATTTGTTTCGTTCCGAATCGAAATTCGGACGAATTTTCGGAAAATTCGGACATTCGGATGTATCCGAATTCCGAATTACAGACATAACGAATGCAAACGAATCCGAATTTCCATTTCCGAAATTCGGTAGCGTTAGTACGAACGTTCGTTTTGTTTTCTGTTCTTATTCGTTTCTTATTCGTTTCTTATTCGTTTCGTTCGTTGGAGCAAAGTGACATTAGAGAAGGAGAAAATATTTTTTTCCCCCTCAAATGTCACTTTTGCTGCAAACGAACGAAACGAATAAGAACAGAAAATGAAACGAACGTCCGTACTAACGCTACCGAATTTCGTCCGAATCCGAATTCCGAATCCGAAGTGACTTTCACACCCGAATCCTGAAAAACGAAATAACACAAATCCGAATTTAAAACGAAATGAAACTAAACACATTTTTTGGCAGTGCACATGTCTATCAATAAGTCAGTTTACAAACTTAGATGAATATGTTTATTAAGAGTGGGATAGAACTTCTGGAAATTCAATATAGAAATACAGATTTATCGCACTTCTTGTTAAACGCTACCTTTTTCTGTCCAAGTGGATGAAGCTGAGCTTGACAAGAATCATAGGCAACATGAAACCTTATGCTGAAAACCCCCATCAACCCACCTACAACCTCCCCCCTACTTCCACACCAATATGAGGCATGGTGCATCTCTTTCACATTTTATTATTTATTACAGGTATTTATATAGCGCCGACAATTTTTGCAGCACTTTATATCAGTCCCTGCCCCCAAGGGCCTTACAATGTAAGGTCCCTATCTCACCTGCATGCATACAGGTGCCAATTTAGACCGGAGCCAATTCACATTTTTAGCAACCCATGCAAGCACAGGGAGAACATGCAAACTTCTTGCAGATAGCGATCTAGCCATTTTGTAAGTTTACTTAGACCTGACTGGTAGGGGGGTGATATACACCATCACAAGTGACGTGCGGTACCTTCGCTTCTTGGTGAGGAATTTCCCAGCCAAAGCCCCACCCCAACATGCAGAAGCCCCACCCATATCCAGCGAAGCACCGTCCCCATCCCGATGAAGCCTCAGCTAGTGTGAAGGAGTGTGGAAGGAGGGAGGGACGAGACAGGGAGGAGCCGTAACTTGTTACAAGCCGATCTGAATGGAGAAAAAGCTGTCAGCTTCAGACTTGAAACTGACAGCTTTTTCCTCCATAATACTAGGTGAGGCTCTGCCTCACCTTCCTCCCCTAGCTGCACGTCCCTGACTGTCACCCTACTCTACAGACCATTTCTAGATCAATGAACCCAGATGGGGGTATTGGAAGACCACAGTACACTATTCCACCAATGAAAAACGCACAGGCAATGCAGGGACGGATCCAACCAAATGCCACTGGAGAGGCAGCAGTCTGGAACCCTTTATTATGCACCAAAATGTTACCACTTGTTAGCAGTATGGTGTGTAGACATCTGGGAACCACCCCTGCCGCCCTATGCCCAGCTTATGTGACCAAGGGAGAGTAGATATAGAATATATAATGATATGCATGGTCACTGCAGACCTTTTACTTTATGAGACCAAGTGCTGACAGATACAAACGTATTAATGAACGCAATAGTGTGCCTGTACTGTATCTCAGTTACCAATATCCCAGTCCACCTCAGCAGTCCTGGTATTAATCAGTTCTAAATATTGATGGGATGCATTGATTTATTTCTGAGCTACAGGGCACAATTAATTAATATTCTATTACTGGGCTATTAGCTTTTCATTACATTATACAATAGAAAAGCAATAAACCTGAAGAGGCCACTTCATATTGTGTTTATCTTGTAGACCTGAAAAGAGGTCCACAAAGTTTAAAGGGAACGCGTACACACAAAAAAATACAATATTTTAAAGGGGACCATTGTTGAAGCAGCAACTAATTGGCCCACCCACCATTTCGAAAATGTATATAATTGTAGATGCCAGTGGAATGATTGGCTGCTTTTTTAAAGCCCATATGGAATGCTTAATGCTTTTAAGAACCATCTATGCGTTATTGCCAACTGGGCAATACCTGGCATTCCCAATCTCCAATAGGAAATCCAAGTCTCAGTAACATTTTCTGTATTTACAGTCACTTGTCATGAAATCCATGTTGTATAAAGAATCTTTGTTGCAATGAATCACCACTCCTGACTCCTTAGCATGTCACAGCCCTCCTCTGTTACATTTTCAACACATCAAAACAAGAGTGAATGGCGATATTGCTACCTGCATTAATCTCTTCATAATCAGACAGTTCTGGGCCCCTTTGTTTTGGCCCAATATCAGTCACAAGTCATTTTTCCAGCTCAAGCTGTGAATCTATTGGATCATATACGTCCTCTTACCAGTCTTGTCCATCAGCGTCACAGTTGCAGTAATGGCTATTATCGATGCAGCTCTCCTCCAGTCCACAGGCACATTGCCCAGGCAGGGATCCGCCCCAGTAGGTGTGTCTCTCGTTCCCTCTTCCAATCCACCACGTGTACGGGTTTCCACCTGCAAACAAGACCCAACAATGGTAAAATATGTGGAGATGACAAAGAGAAACCAACTTCCACAAGAATACAATATAACTATAATTTTATATTTGTTAGGATAAAGCTCTCAGTAACCATCAAACATATAACATAATACCCCACAGGAGGTTTATGGCGGGGGGGGGGGTCATAAATGAAGATTCCATCCCCTGGAAAGGGTTCCACACAAAGCACCCTGTAGTGTTTTTTATGGAGTTATATTTGCATCAGAAACACCCTCAACACATCCTGTAGGAAAGGCAACACCTTAATGGCTGTCCATCACCTAAAGATCAAAGGGCATGCTATGACCTGATGTTAACATAGATCAAGAAGTTTGCCCGTAGTATAATGGCACCATTGACTGGAGGACTTCCATGAGCACTGCCGAATCCTAGAAGACGCAAATTGGACAACAGACTCATAAGGGGTGTGATGTTATCTGGGTCAATGGGTATGGATGTAGATGTATAGTTACATAGTTAGTCAGGTTGAAAAAAAGACACAAGCCCATTGAGTATTAAAAAAAAGCAGGTGCTCAGACATCTTTCTCTCTCTCTCTCTCCCTCTCCCTCTATCCAAGATATAGAACTAGAGGATGGACTTGTTATGTAACATATTATTTTTGCTTTTTTATTGTACTGTTTTGAAATTGATGATCATTAGCACCTGCTTAACATAATTGGTAATCATGTACCTGACTCTAAAGGTGTCCATACACTGCACGATTATCGTACGATAATCGTATGCGATCGGTTTTTCGTACGATAATCGAGCAGTGTGAATGGAGACGTGCGACCGTTTCTACTGTACGGTCGCACGTCTTCTGTCGAACCAGCATGTTCGAAAACCAGCCGGGAATCGTACGATTCTCGGCTGGTTAGAACGGTGCTCGGAAGACAAATGCCGAACGGGCCGGTGTGCGCACGCGCACACTGCCCGTTCAGCATTGCGGTCATCGGAAGCCCGCCCCTCAGGGGGGCGGGCTTGCGATGATCGAGAGTGGGATCTGCCTGTCCAAGATAAGCAGATCGTACGTTTTTTTAATCCCTGTACAACCATCGCAAGACTAAAGTCTTGCGATGGTTGTAGAGTGTATGGCCACATTAATCCTACAAAATCACTGACTTTGGGCAAGTGTAAGAAATTATGCTGGTTTGAAGCCAAAGGGTAGTCACATCAATTATTGATTTGATTTAGATTTTTCTTCTGTTCACACTTTGCAGTTTGTAAATTAAGAAAAATAAACAATAAAAAAAATATATATATATATATACACAGTATATTCAGCCATAACATTATCACCACCCACCTAATATTGAGTAGGTCCCTCTTTTGCCATCAAAACAGCCCTGACCCATCCAGGCATGGACTCCACTAGACCTCTGAAGGTATGCTGTGTTATCTGCCACCAAGCCATCAGTAGAAGATCCTTTAAGTCCTGTAAGTTGTGAGGTGCGGCCTCCATGGATCACAGTTGTGCATCAATGAGCCTTGGTCACCCATGACCCTGTCACAGTTCACCGGTTTTCCTTCCTTGGACCACCTTTGGTAGGTCCTGAAAACTGCAGACCGGGAAAATCCCACAAGAGCTGCAGCTTTGGAGCTGCTCTGACCCAGTCGTCTAGACATCACAATTTGGTCCTCGTCAAAGTCCCTCAAACTCTCACACTTGTCCATTATTTCTGCTTCCAGCACAACAACTTCAGGGACAGAATGTTCACTTAG